AGCAGCCCACTGATCAAGGTGATGTGGACAGACCACTCCAGAACCATGGTGGCCAATTTCCAAAAGATTCTCAACTATGAAGAGTTTGCTGATGTACATGTCTGCCACATGAACAGATCCATCTCAGCACACAGGGTGGTGCTGGCCGCCAGCAGCACACTCTTCCGGCAGCGGCTGTGGGCCGTCTCGGCAGTGCCTCTGGCTCTTGAACTGAGCAGTCTGCAGTGTCATGGCCTGCTTCAGTCCAAGGGCCATGGCACCGTGTTTGCGGAGCTGGAGCTTATCCTGCATATCATTTACCGCGGCTGGGCTCAGCTGCGTGAGCGGAGCATAGGCTCCCTGCTGGAGACAGCACGCTGCCTGCAGTTCGACGACGTCTGTGAGCTGCTGCAGCGCACGGTGCAGGTGCGGGGTGCGCCGGCGCCGCCGCTGGTCGCCACGCCCGCCGCGTACGCCGCCGCTGAGCCGGGCCTCGACCAGCTGGCAGGCGGCGAGGTGTCTTTCAGCGCGCTACAGGCGGCCCTGTGTCCCGGGGAGCCATGCCACGCCGTGGCAGAGCTGGGCGTGCACGAGCTGGTGCAGCTGGCGGCGCCGGCCGGCCGCCGCCCGGCCGTCGAGCCGGGCATCGCTCACCAGGACGCTGAGCCGGGCCTCGCCCACCAGGACGCCGAGCCGGGCCTCGCACACCAGGACGTCGAGTCGGGCCTCGCCCACCAAGATGTCGAGTCGGGCCTCTGCCACCAGGACGCCGCCCTGCTGACGGCGCCAGAGCTGTGTCGGCAGCTGGCCGTTTCGTCTCCGCCCGTTCCGCCGCCGCCCGTCCCGCCGCCCGCGCCCGACCCGGCGTCCGATCCGGCGCTGGACCCGGCGTCCGTCCGGCGCTGGACCCGGCGCCCGATCCGCTCTCAGCCAGCGGGTCAGCCGGGCCCGCTGCCACCGCCGCCGCCCTGCCACTGCCACTGCCGCCCGAGCAGCGGGGCCGCTGCCGCAGGAGGGAGCGCCGGCTGCCGGCCACGATGGCGCGCCGCTGCTGCGCGTGCGCACGCAGTTGAGTTGCACTGTCCCTGGGGCGTGGGCATGGAAATGGCTGGACGTGGCCGACACGAGCCCGAACCAGGTGAGAGCACCGGGAACGGGGCGCCACTGATGAATGTTGCGCGCCCTCTGGCCGCGCGCGTGCGTACGTGCGCGCGTGCGTGTGCGGTGAGACGCTCCGCAATTTCATGAAGAGCGAGTTATCTTTCGTTGATTTGCCATGGAATCCATTCATTTGCTTCGTCGCTGCCGATTAGCCAATAGCCGAGGGCTCCTATTTAACTTCCCCACCCTTTTCAGACTTTCCAATGATGTGCCCGTCCCAGGGTGCCGTACTGTGCGTTTAGTTGGACGTTTTACATGGAGTATATCGGGCTTTTGAAGACAGACATGCGACATGAAACCCAAAAATCAAGGATTGGTTTGGGGAGTTTTTCAATGACATCGGCATGGTAGTGAGAAGCTTGTTGACAACCCCATGTATACTCTTTGTTCACAAGTATTCTTCTTACCCCACGGGTCCGTTTTGCTTCACTTACTGGACGACAGGCTTTGTCAGCCCGGTCTGAACGTCTTGCACAGCAATGACATGTCACTCGGTCAAACCGAATGTTTACGGTGTGTTACGTGGAACGCTGACGACCGCGCGCTGTCGTTTCTGACCCTCTACAATTGCGGCGGCAGCGTCGGGCGGGTGGCCCACGATGCTGATGCCGGAGCCGCCGGCAGCGGCGCCGCTGCCGGCGCGGCCGCCGCGGTCGGCGTCACCGCCTCCGGCGCCGCTCGCGCTGTCGCCCCCGCCGCCCACGCCGCCGGCGGGCGCCGGGTTCGGCCTCGACGACGAGCAGGCGCTGATCGAGAGCTACGGTCTGCCACCCACCACGCCCGAGACGCTGGCGCACTTCAACGAGAACGACTTCAGCGGTCTGACCGAGGAAGAAAAGTCGCCGATGGCGGCCAAGCCGCCGCGCGTGCGTCGTCTTCGCCGCCGCGTGACGCGCGTCCGACAGCGGTGAGATGGCGCGACGCCGGTGTGCCGGGTTATGACTGATGTATCGTTCTTAGCGAAATGAATGAAGATAAAACAAGCTCTTGTGCACAACAGAATGCTTTAATGCAATCATGCGGAGATAGGTGCCGAGCCGTCGCATGTGTCGTGTGCCGTGTGCCGTGTGTCGTGTGCCTTGTGTTGTGTGCCGTGTGCCGCGTGCCGTGTGCCGTGAGTCGTGTGCCGTGAGTCGTGTGCCGTGAGTCGCGTGCCGTGTGTCGTGTGTCTTGCGTTGTGTGCCGTGTGCCGTGAGTCGTGTGCCGCGTACCGTGTGCCGTGTGCCGTGTGTGCCGTGAGTCGTGTGTCGTGTGCTGTGTGCCGTGTGCCGTGTGCCGTGTGCCGTGAGTCGTGTGCCGTGTGTCGTGTGTCGTGTGTCTTGTGTTGTGTGCTGTGTGTTGTGTGCCGTGTGCCGTGTGCCGTGTGCCGTGAGTCGTGTGCCGTGTGTCGTGTGTCGTGTGTCTTGTGTTGTGTGCTGTGTGTTGTGTGCCGTGTGCCGTGTGCCGCACGCCGCCACCGGCCATGGCCATCGACGTTCGCCCCGTTGACGGGCACTGTCTTCGCTGCCGCAGCAAGCTGCCAGAGCTGATCTCGCTCGACCAGTCCACCGTGTGTCAGGTGTGCCACCGGGACCTGGCGCGCATGAGCGCCCTGCAGCGCCACCTGGCGTCGGCTCACCCGGATCGTACCGCCGCCGGCGAGGAGGCCGACGAGCGGCCGCCGCCGTCGACGGTCGACGCCAGCGCCATCTCGGACCCACGCGACACGTGCGCCAGTTTGCTGCAGTTCCGGCCTCGGCTGAGCGCAGCCGGGCCCGGCCAGGGCAGCGCCAACGAGGAGCCGCCGACGTCGCCGATGCCGCCCCCGCTGCCGCCGCCGCCCCCGCCGCCCCCGCTGCCACCGTCGCTGCCGCTGGTGGAGGCCGCGGTTGGGGTTCCAGAGACGGGGGTGGAGGTGCCAGCGCCGGCGCCGGCACCGGCGTTGGTAGAGACGTCGCAGTGCGGGGATCTGAAGTGTGAGTGACGATTCGTCTTGCTCCGGCCAGGACAGGGGTGCAGCCACGGCCAACGTCTCCGCTCATGCCGCTTTCGGCGATGGGTGTTGTGAAGGCGGTGATGCAGATTTCTTTGCGTTGCCAGTGTTTTCGTCTCTGCCCGATGTCCGCATGGTATTGGGCTCTCCCTACCCATGTCATTATTCACCACGGCCGCTGGTGGGCGGCCGACCACGCGGGGCTGTCGTCTGACGTCTGCGGTGGCTGTGCGGCTGCAGGCTCAGAGTGCAGCTTCGTGGCGGAGTCCGACGAGCTGCTGCGGGACCACCAGCTGCGACCGCATTTGCCGCACGTGGCCTGTCCGTACTGCGACCTCAAGTTTGGACAGGCGGCCGCCCTGTACCGACACGTGCGCACCGCTCACCCCGGGCTGCCCGACAAGCCGTCCCAGGTCAGCGCCTGCGCCTCATGGGCCCGTCCAACGGCCTGTGTCGTCTCCCACCGATCGGTGTGTCCTGGAGATCCTGTGCATGTTAGGCAGGACGCGTGCGGGATATTGGAGTTCAAGGCAGAAGGTCATGCCGAGATTCGGGCGGGCCCAAGACAAGTTAGTTTTTTTGGTGGGGGATTGGGGAGGCCGAGTGACCAATGTGACATTGATTTATTTGGCCACACTGCCGTAAAGTGAGGCATGCGCAGACGTTACCTGTGCCATGTGTGATAATAATGCATTAACTCAGCAGAAGCCTTGCTTTTCAAGTTTAGTAACGGACATCGTGTACAGTTTGTCGCAGGAATATTTTTGCAAGATTTTCTGAAGTATTGTTAAGTAAGCAGAATGCGCGGGCTATCCATGAGACGTCCTGTACTGTGCTTGTATTATCCCAGGTTGCCGCGGCCCTGGGCCGATAAATGCCGGGCCCGGGTTTGTTCCGTGTGGTGGCGGCCTGTCGCCGCTTGTTTATGTTCCGCTTTCTATGTCAGTCAGGCTGGAACACGGTATATGTTGGTGCTGCTGCAATGCTGCTGGAAAGTCCTTGTCAGCCTGCCCCGGTTCGGGTGCGTTCTCTGCCCCACGGCGTGGGCTCTGGCCGCGCCGCCGGACGCCGAGCCCCTGACGCTGCGTCCCGTGTCCGTCAGTGTCACCTGTGCAAATACAGCAGCGGCCGTCCGAGCCAGGTGCGTCGCCACCTCCGAGACGTGCACGGCCAGGACGACCAGGGCCAGCCGCTGCCGCTCGACCGCCGCTGCCCGCACTGCGAGTTCCACCACCTGCAGCCGCTCTCAAGCTCAGGGGTAACTGCGCGCGCGCTGTTCCGCGAAGGCCAGGGCAGGGTGGCGGGGCAGTGCTCTCTGCAGCCCACTCGAACTCGGGGGCCATGTGTGCTGTCTGAGCTCGAAATCACGGGTGCAGACATTTTTAAAGACAGCCTCACGTGGTATACGCTGTTTACATACACTAGTGTTGTCTCAGCATATGGTTGTCTAGCATTCTGTGACGAACCACGATGAAGTGGATATTCGCAGTCACGTGGCTTCAGGCTTTGGTGGGTCGGGCAGCTAGCCAGTGTCCTTTTTATTGATGTGGGCCTGATATGGGTGGAATCGTCTTTTTAACATTACACGCGATGGCTGCCCACTTCTATTATCACATCGTGCGTGCTATGACAATCGACAAGGTGCTGACGGTGAATCGTTCCGCTTGGCTGATCCGCTTGGCCCGCGCCTGAAGAGTGTGTCAGTCACCGTGATCCTGCTGCGGTGTGGACTAGTGGTTTTCTGAGAGCATCGTGCGCCTCCACAGATACACGTGCGCCGTCGGCACACGGAGGACAAGCAGATTACAAGTGCTCCGAGTGTCCTTACAGCACGATAGATAAGCATGCCCTAGTCAAGCATGTCCGTATTAAGCACACGGACTTCAGGCCTTTTCGCTGCGAGATATGTGACTTCAGGTCAGTGCGCAGGATAATGTTTCGGCTCTAGCAATGTGACGGAAGTGATGTACCCCGCAGTAATATCACACCGTATGCAACCCCGAGGCGGCAGATATGCACCATGCTACCGGATACCTGAAGTGCCCGTCACATCCCTACTTACGCCAACGTTGTGACGTTGTCTTGGATCTCTCCGCCGTGAGGCTTTTTGATCTTCCCGTTCGCTACCGCATCTCGACCCACTCGTAAAGCGAACTGAGCCCCAGCGGTCATGTCGGTATTCACGATCCAGCGTCTTTGGGCGTCTTTGAGCAAACCGTTTTTTTGTGGCGGTCGTTGCTCCCCGTGCCCCACCTGACGCCGCTGCTCCCGTGCCTCACTTGACGTCGCTGCTCCCCGTGTCCCGTCTGACGCCGCTGCTCCCCGTGCCCCGCCTGACGCTACTGCTGCCGTGCCCCGCCTGACGCCGCTACTCCCCGTGCTTCACCTGATGCTGCTGCTGCCCGTGCCCCGCCTGACGCCCCTGCTCCCCATGCCTTACCTGACGCTGCTGCTGCCGTGCCTCACCTGACGCCGCTGCTCCCCGTGCCCCGCCTGACGCTGCTGCTCCCCGTGCCCCGCCTGACGCTGCTGCTCCCCGTGCCCCGTCTGACGCCGCCGCTGTCCGCCCCGCAGGACGTCGACGCTGTCGCGGATCTCGCGCCACCGGCGCTCGCACACCAAGGAGCGGCCGCACGTGTGCGCCGCTTGCGGTCAGTCGTACGCCGACCGGCGCCGGCTGTTGGAGCACTGCCGGCGTCGGCACGACCCGGCCGGCGCCGAGCGGCGTCCGTTCGTCTGCCACCGCTGCGGCGCCGCCTTCGCACGCCGCGACAACATGCTCTCGCACATCGCCAGCAAACACCCCGAGCCACCGGCCGCGGTGTGAGCGGCACGGGCGCGTGTGATGAACAGCGGACGCAGCCGTCTGTGGTGTGAGCGGCGCAGGCGCGTGTGATGGGTAGTGGGCGCGGCCGTCTGCGGTGGGAACTGCACAGGCGTGTATGATGGGCAGCGGGCGCAGCCGGCCGCTGTGTGAGAGGCACGGGCGCGTGGGATTGGCAGCGGGCGCGGCCGGCCGCTGTGGAGCTGCTCGACGGCGCGGAGTAGCTCGGTCAAGCTTTAATGGAGGCGAGTAGAGTGATCTCTTGTTTGCGTCCGTGCTGACATGCGAGCCTCTTTCTCGGAATTGGGTGACGTTAAGAGGTGTAGCTGGGTGTACCTGATTGGGCTAACCCGCTGTCACCTTGCCGCAAGCATTCAAAGAAGCTGTCAAGCTTCGTTTGTTAGTGATGGAGTTTTCTGTTTGTTATATGCGATGTCCTGTAACGGGCTGGGATTTTCCTTCCATAAATTTTGTATTGTTGCAGGCGTCTGGATCATATTGTATGCACACTATCATGGCTAGCAATGGCAGTTAGCAGCTCATCACGGGTAGGTGAGTTGACCTCCCCACCTACTTCACGACTCATGGAGTTCACTCACATATTACTTTTAGTGGCAACATTGACACCGTGGCGGGGAGTCACTGAAGGTTGGGGTATGTGGAGTAGTCCCTTCCCTGTTCCAGCAAATCGGACTGCCCTTTCTGTGAAGCGCGAAGTGGCCCCACGACAGGCTATGCGAGGGGAAACATCTTCGCGCCTGTGGTCCGCAAAAGGCTCCTGTGGATACGGGAGAGCCGTTCGCCGCACTTGTGGTCGTTAGTCTGGTCCTGCGTGTGACTCCAGAAATGAGAGCATTTAGTTTGACGGTCATGCGTTTCGGCGTGTCTGAGTACGTTGCCTGGAGCAGTACCCCCGTGGCGTTGAAGTGCACGTGGGATAGAGGTTGAAGGTTCTGACTTTTTATATTTACTAGGAACAGAAAGCATCTGTTCAAATTTCCGCTCCTACTTATTAAAGCTCAGACTTACAATCTGACGGCCGCAAAGCAAGCTACTGACTGTCGAGAACGTGGCATTACCACCGCCACCCGAAGCTGGAAGCAATATGGACACTACCCCAAAGGGAAATCCTGGATGAGACCAGACGCGCGGAGGGTGATTTTGGGCTACCTTCTACCTTCTGTAGCGAATCGGTTGTTTTTGTTGTGTTACGCTCAAAACCTGGCATAGCGTCCGAACCAAGGGGATCCAAAAGGACTAGAGGCTTGAGCTCCGAACTTGCCGAAAATTTAGCGTCCTGAGCGTTGATCATATCTGGTAACCAAAAATGTATATCAGACCTAGCAACACGGAAGAACTTTTGTTGACCCTGGTAGCGTCATAGCAAAATTACACGACGTTCTCAGCGGCGTTTTTGCTCTGCATGGTTTAAATGGTTTCAACCCCATACTATTTTCACTAATGTTTCGTCACCAAAGCTTCCGCAGCACTGAATGATTGTATTTAGCTCCTAAAAAGCAGCCCTAGTATTCTGCGGCGGCAGATATGCGAAACAATATATGTTCAGCAAGCTAATAGGTATCTGGCACATACGGCCTTAATTTGGCCTGCAACAACGGTGAAAGATCGTACATCCCCTGAAAGCTGTGTTTTTGGATAGCGGTGTGATACCGCTACGTGCATTTCTTTCAACCTTGTTGTATGTCGACGAAAGTGAAGCCTTCATCTGACGTGTTTTGTTTTGCGCGGCGCTGAATGGGGCGATCGGGAATATAACGCGATGGTATTCATTGAACTTAGGAGGCGGGGGGTGGATAGTTGGACAACTGTCTGGCATTTGGTCTGCGGTTGACGTCGGCTGTGTGGGTGGGTGGCTTGTGTGTTGTAAGGGACTGCCAGTGATGGTCAGGTTTGGGTAGGCGATTCGACTGTGATTGAGATAATGCAGGCTTCTGGTGAGACGTCTGCACGGGACAACAGAAACGCCTTTTGGAAGAAGAATACCAAGAATGTGCCTGGCAGGTTTGTGTTCTGTAGCATTTCTGTACTCTGTCATTTTCTATAATATTTTTATGAGTTTTTTTTTTTGCTGACAATCCGCATTTTGAGGCCCCCTTTGGTTTGTCCAGACTGGTATGCTGCAGTTAATTATGCAGCATGTGCAAAGTTTGGTAATCATGAAGTTGTCTTACCATCTATTGTGATTGGGGTTGTCTTCAGGCTTTGTGTGAGAGCCCCGCTAGTTGAGCAGTGATGCCAACACTCAACTAGTGGGGTGAGCATTGACATCACTGCTCAACTAGGGAGGCTGGGGTTGGGTCAGGGGTAAGTCTGCCTCTATAAATGTTAATGGCATGTCTTTTGAAGTATTTTTATTTGAAATGACCTTTGTGCAATAATGATTCCTTTACACATTGGCTCTTTGCATCAAAACGAACCAACCAGGCTCCATGCTCTCATTAGTTGAATTTACAGCTTGCATGTGCTGAAATTGTTCCTGTACCTGTTCAGCATAACATGCATTTTTACAGTTTGGACAGGTGGCATCTACCTTACCAACTTAATGGAGTGGTTGACATTAAGCCCACAGCAGTGCATGCAGAGAAAGAAGTAAAAAATCAGATTTCCCCCAGTTCACAGAAGTTTTGCCAGCATGGATCACCACTAACCATTTTCCCCTCATTTCCCTCAGCATCCACTGAGGACAAGTTTGTGCTGGTTCTTTGAATGGATTGGATTGGATTCACTTTCCACTTTCTCTTTTCAGTGTCATACTATGAGTTCCAATCCTATTCAGGGTACAGTTGGATTTATGAAGAATACAACTGTGTAAGATGTCATATATGTCATGGGAAGGTTTCATTGCCACATTTGTAGGATTATAGCTGTTGGTTGAACATAAGCATATACACATGAAGGCAATCTGTCTTCATAACTTAAATTGTGCTTTTAAAGGCTGAAGACATTCTTTACAAACTGGTAACTATTGAACAATCCCTGAATCCTAATTTTCAGTGTTGCTTATGTATATTTTGGGTTATCTTTTATTTTATTATTTTGTTACTTATCTATGTATTATTTAGATATTATGATATATTCAGGGTATAAGCTATTAAATCTGGAAGATGATTGTTGTTTGGCTTTTTGGTATAGAGATATGGTAATCATTTTCATGGAAGGCTTTTGTAATGAAACAAATTGGTTGGATGATACTCTTGTTCTGTTAGCCATGAAGCCTGCAAGCCAGCATGTATGTGAAAGGATACTGGGACAGTTTGATTTGTTGATGTTTTGGAAACACAACTACCTTAAGATCTCATTAAGATGTGGTATTGTGTCCTGAAGGCGCCATTCTCAGGGTTACCTGGAACGGCATTGGTTGTCATTGTGAGCAGCTATTTTGGTAAAAGATATGGGAGCACAGCTAGGGTAGACCAATATTTTTGTGTGCACATGTATGTAATTACTTCACAATCAGTTTATGCAGAAAATTGTATGATTCCTTTTAGAGAGCATTTTATCTCACAACTTTTCTCACACATGCTGCATTCAGTATGAAGTCTGTTTATGGAGCTCAACATCCTCCTATCACATCTGATTGGTCCCCACAGTAAGTCAGCATACAGTGTGGTGCTTTAACACCTGCTTATTAATTATGGATATCAAGTATGGTAAAGTTTGCATGGTCTGTCATTAAAGTTATGATGGTATTTGCATGCCTCTATCATGTTGCATACCATGCTCAAAATTGCTCATTGTGGCATCTTAACATCATTATTGCTGGTGCATGTGGGTGTTACAGTGCACACAATGTGGCATGTCTGCACAGGGCATGATAACCATGTTAACAAGAGCATAATTAACATGAGTGTTAGCATGTGTCTTAGAATATTGAGATGATCATTACTGTGGTTGGATATATTTATTTAATATTTATTCTAACAGTTAACTCCTGCATGACTTGTTCAGAGGTTTTGCTGCTCAGCAATCTTATAGATATGTTAGTTTTGCGAGACCTGCAGGTGTTCTACAGCACCAACCAGTAGCTGAGCTACAAGCATCTGAAAATGATGCCCCATGTCATGTGCTGTCAGGCATGGGGTCCTCCCTGTGGTAAGTAACTGACCAATCTGCTCTCTGCAGAGCCAGTCCTCGCCATGCGTCCTCCGAGACGGTGTCGGCGGCGAACTTCCAAGACTTCCAGCAGTCGGTGGACGACGCCTGGGACGACGGCGATGACGAGTTCTGCATCATCTCGGGCAAAATCCAGAAAGGCGAGTGGTCCGCGACTGCTCGGAGTGAACTGAGTGCATGTGTCTGATTAAGGACGAGCGCGGAGAGTCGGGTATGGGGCTAGCGTAACGCTGTGGGGCAGACTTATTCAGTGGATGGTTTTGCCGTCATGACGAACATGTTTGGTCGGGTCGCCTGAGGGCGGGAGAGGGGCTTCTGAAACAGATGCCAACAGGTGCTCCTTATCACTGACTGATCACGAACCAACAACAATGCTGCAGATACGGTGATTCGTTTCCATGCAGCATACGTCAACACATGTGTGATGCTGTTTTCTGATGCAACATTCCGTGGATATTAGGACAATCGATAGTTTCTTGCGTCAGTCGAGTCCCGTCCTCGCCGCCACGAGACATTATCCCACCCACGCAGCCATTACTGCGCTGAGACGTTAGTCCCCAGCGACGGCTCATCAAAGGACACGCCATTAGTGCATGTCTGGGTTCGGGTCGGCGCACCCATGTCGAATGTGGGAGGGGGGGGGGGGGGGGGGGGAAGGCGGGGAGCTCCGCTGAGGCCCTCCCCGAGCGGATGCCGGGGTTATGGTCCGGTCCTGCGCTCGGCTTGTCTGTCAGAGCAAATGACCTGCTCTCTTGGTCAGATAGCCCCGCCGAACAAGTGTTGCTCTGAGGTGGCTGGCTTGGCAACGGTAATGTTCGCATTTCTTTGTCCTGGCTATTGCTAACACAGCCAGGTCCGCTGGTTGATACCTGCGAGCTCGCCCATGATTATCGGGATGTCGTCACGGACCTCAATGTCTAAATGATCTGCCGGTGACTCCTCGGATCACGCCTGTTCGCGAGCTTGTAATACGAATGCACTTCCAGACCCGCGATACGCGAAACACATTGTTTTAGGTGCTCACTACGACCGACCGGCTCGGCGCCGGCCGCGCAGCTCGCTCTGCTCCGTGACCGGCTTTTGATATCCCGCATGCCATCTGTATTAGCGGTCACGACCAGCAGCCGGCTCCCATCCGGCCGGCCGGCAGACCGCACAGCCACCGACTCCCGTATGCCCACCGCCGCCGCGGCCGCCTCACCCGACCGCGGACGGTTGGGGGGCTGCCGCCGGCGTCACGTGATCGCCCGCCGGCGGCCGCAGAAGGTCGCGCTGGCGGGTCGGTGGGCGAAAAACCCGCCTCGCAGCAGCCCCGATGGGAGCGGACTGCTCAGACAGCTGCTGTGCATATTTCAGGGGGGTGGTCGGTCTGGCCGGAGACGCCCATCAGCTATGGATTGGGTTTGAAACAACATCGGTGCGCGTAGCGAAGTTGCGCGTAGTTTTTCCTCCCCACAGGCAGGTGCGGAAAGTGGTGTCGCTTGACTTGTGGCCTGCAAAACGTTAACCAGTCCACCGCATAGTGTATTACGAGTGCCGCCCCAATAGTCCCGAGCGACTCCAACAGCCCGCCCCAATAGCCCCGAGCGACTCCAACAGTCCGCCCCAATAGCCCCGAGCGACTCCAACAGCCCGCCCCAATAGCCCCGAGCGACTCCAACAGCCCGCCCCAATAGCCCCGAGCGACTCCAACCCCGCCCCAGTGACCCCGAGCGACTCCAACAGCCCGCCCCATTGACCCCGAGCGACTCCAACAGCCCGCCCCAACGGCCCCGAGCGACTCCAACAGTCCGCCCCATGGTTGCGAGCGACTCCAACAGCCCGCGCCGCATCGGGGAACCGATACAAGCTCTGCCGTAATCCCGCTTCTGCCGGTTTTGTCACGGTCGTGCGGCGGATGTGACCCACGTGTGACGCTGCCCGGTGTGCTGCAGACGTCCAGATCTCGGCCAACATCGCCCAGTCGACGGCGCTCAGCGTGATCCGGTCCCACCGGTCTGGCGGCGGCGGCGGGAGACCCCCCGCCCCGCCCAACACCGACAGGTGGGGAGGACATACCGAGCAGCTCGGCCCATGCCGGCTGCGCTACGGATGGTGCAGGATGTGCCTTGGTAAGGTGTGGTGTAATGCGCCACGTGTTTTATTGCAGGGTCAATGATTAGCACCTGCGATGTGTGTGTTAGCAGGTCTGCTAAAGGTCGTAGGTATCTAGCAATGCATTATTGCGGTGTGGTTTGCTCTGACATGTGGATCAGTAGACGCTGGGTTGAATGGCAGCGGACGCTTTCCTCGGAATGGTCTCACAATATCCTTTCCAGCGCCCGTTTTTTCCGCTAATAAAGAAGTGACATTCCTTTTGTTTGCTAACAAAAGGAAAAAAACACGTTGTGAAACGGCTTTAGTGTCGAAGCGAGTCACCTACACGTTTTTGCTGTTCAGCCATCGCCATTTCCGTCGGTTGTCGCAACTGTGCTCTTTTTCCGGCCATCGCCCGTTTGTTTTGGTTTCGATTGATCTTGCGATGTGTGCCCCGCCCCCAGTTGTCACGACGGCCGGGGTCGCACACCTGTTGTTGAGTGACCGCTGTGTAACGGGCCCCGCTCTGGGGACACCCAGTCACGCGGTGTGTGCAGCTGGCCACCCCCATGGGGCGGGGGCGGGTCACAGCTGCGTCCCGTCACCCGCCGCGCGGCCGAGCGGCGTGGTCGCCCTGCGGTCGCCCGCTGCCGCCGTGGCATCGGATCTACAGTCGCGTACGCGTCGCGGTGTCGGGTCCGTGGCCTGGGTCTGCGGGCGGTCAGAACGGTCCGGTGCGGTGCGTCGGACACGGGTGCCCGCAGCCCCCGAGGAACGGTCGCTCTGCGGTGCCAGCGAGGGCTCGGTGCCTGTCGAGGCGCAGTTGGGGCGCGTCGTGACGCTGCGGGGCGCTTCGTGACGCTGCGGACTGGCCCCCGACGGGTCCGGGCCGTGGCACCATCGCTCGGGGACCCGCGCGCGGTCGAGATCTACCGTCTTGCCTCGGACTCCGCCGCCCGGGCACGGCCCGCTCAAGCGTCTGTTGCGCAACCCACCGCCGCGCTCCAGAGCACCGACCAGCTGCTCGCGGCCGTCAGCCGTCGGTAGCCGTCGCTGTCTCCTGTGCCGAGTAGCTGTCCCGCCCAGCCCGGCTAGCTCGGACTGCGGCCCGGGGCGCCGCCCATGTTCTACAGGGACTGCCTGCGCCTTTTCAGCGAGCCGCCGCCGCCGCCGCCAGCTGCGGCGAGACCGTGCAAGACGGAGGTCTCGGAGGCCGGCAAGGCTGAGGCCATGATCCGGCTGGCCGCCCAGCGTGAGTAGGGCGGGCGGCGGCCATGCTGTGGCGTGTGCCGTGCGTGACGGGCGGCGGTGGATCGAATATTGACGGGGATTGGCAGGGACCCGGAGCGAGTTGTCTGGTAATGACCGGCTGTGCTGGTCCGCTACACTGCTGGGTGTGAGCGAGGGTGGTGTCTACATTTACTGAAGCGTAGTGCAGCAACGTTGGCCTGGTAACCGGGTTTAAAAGTGGGTGCAAGGGCCGCCGGGCGGCTAAGCTACGGACGTTTGTGACCGACTGGCAGTATTTGAGAGCAAACGCTCGGTCAGCTTTGCTCCTTCGGATTGCTCCTCGTCCGTGTCATTGTCCCGTTATCGTGACATCACCGTAGCCCCAGCTCGGCTGCACTGCCGACGAGCGCGCCGGCTGACGTCTCTGTCGTGGGGGGGGGGGGGGGGGGGGGGAGCTGTGAGCGGTGCATAACCGTCGTGTGTGTGCGCGGCGCCAGGGCCGTCGTCGGCGGAGGGCCAGCCGGCCGGCCTGATGAACCCGTCCAGCTGTCCCCGGATGCCGGGCCACCCGCAGCCGCTGCGGCCCGGCGCGGTGCTCCGGCAGCCGCCCGTCCGCTACCTGCAGGACAAGGCCAACGCAGGTAGGGCGCGCGGTGCCAGCGGCGGCCGGCGAGCCGAGGCGGGGAACGACGCTGGGGAGTGAGCCCGGTTGAACGCTGATGTGGTGTATGCGTGGGAGGGGTATCAGCAGGCCGAAGCAAGAGGTAGCAACGCTCCTCGTTTGGCCATTGATGCATTAGTAAGGCGTCATGAATGCGTTTGCAAGCCTTAGGCGGCGTTCAAGCTCAGGTACTAAGGTCTGCTGTTAAATGCCCTTCATTATTCACTTTTTGGGTGTCATCGTGCTTTTTCACTTTGTGCACCATTACCACCGCCCGATTCGTGTCGTGTCCTGGCATTTGACTCGTTCTTCACCCCCTCAATGGAGCGCTATCAGTTGTCCAAGGCTGGCCGTGATTCTGGTGAGGGTGTGCGTGCAGCCTTCAATAGTGCCGCCTGGCTCCTCAGGCCTGGACCGCGAGGCGGCCCGCCTGGTCAAGGTGCGCTCGGCCATCGACAGCGGCGCCGCCTCGCTGGATGAGCTGCGCAAGCTATGCTGGGGCGGCGTGCCGGCCGCGGCGCGCGCCGTCGCCTGGCGCCTCCTCTCCGGCTACCTGCCGCTGCCGCTGGAGCGGCGCCAGCCCACCATGCAACGCAAGCGCGACGAGTACTGGAGCTTCGTGCACCAGTACTACGACACGCGCCACGACGACATTCATCAGGATACGTACCGACAGGTGCGGACCCGCGCGCCCAGGAAGAGGGGGGGGGGGGGGGGGGCGCTAGGGCTGTCCCGGCGTGCGACTGCGCAGCGGCAGTCGCTTGGACGCGCGTGGTGACTGGCTTGATGACTGAGACGTGCGGGCAACGGTGGACGTCTGGACAGAGCATAGATGAGTCTCGAATAACGTGATATAATATATATAATAATAACGAATAAAGGATACTGTGATTAAGTTACCGTGAATAGCATTCAGGGATGCATAAGCACTTTCCAATCCAATTTTAGTGTCGTAAAGCACGCGCGGCGTGGTCTCTAATGGGATGCGACGTAGCATAGGTTGTTCTGTGAGTGCTGCGTGCGTGATGTGTTGCCGTGGTGACTTCTGATGCGCTGCAACCGTCCTCACGGCCCTCACGGGATCCGTGTGTGGGGCGCGTGGCAGCTTGTCGCTCTCCGACCTGCGGCTGTTTCTCCGCCGCCTGACGCCGTGTCGCTCTGTCGCCTGAAGCCGTGTCACTCCGCCGCCTGACGCCGTGTCACTTTGCCGCTTGACGCCGTGTCACTGCCGCCTGACGTCGCGTTACTGCCGCCTGACGCCGTGTCGTTCTGCCGCCTGACGCCGTGTCACTGCCGCCTGACGCCGTGCCACTGCCGCCGACGCCGTGCCACTGCCGCCTCGGCTGTCTGCCGCCTGACGCCATGTCACTGCCACCTGACGCCGTGTCACTGCCGCCTGACGCCGTGTCACTGCCGCCTGACGCGCGTCACTGCCGCCTGACGCCGTCGTTCTGCCGCCTGACGCCGTGTCGTTCTGCCGCCTGACGCCGTGTCACTGCCGCCTGACGCGCGTCACTGCCCCTGACGCCGTGTCACTGCCGCCTGACGCCGTCACTGCCGCCTGACGTCGCGTCACTGCCGCCTGACGCCGTGTCGTTCTGCCGCCTGACGCCGTGTCACTGCCGCCTGACGCCGTGCCACTGCCGCCCGAGGCCGTGTCGTTCTGCCGCCTGACGCCATGTCACTGCCGCCTGACGCCGTGTCACTGCCGCCTGACGCCGTGTCACCCCGTGCCGGCAGATCCACATCGACATTCCGCGGATGTCGCCGCTGATCCCGCTGTTCCAGCAGCAGTGCGTGCAGGAGATGTTCGAGCGCGTGCTGTACATCTGGGCCATCCGGCACCCGGCCTCCGGCTACGTGCAGGGTGTCAACGACCTGGTCACGCCCTACTTCATCGTCTTCCTGCAGGAGGTGTTGCCACCCGGTGAGCCGGCGGGATCGTGCCGCCACTGGCCCGGGAGCGTGTCCGGGCTGCGGGGGTGACCGGCTGCGAGCCGACTGGCTGGATCCAGCGCTGGCCGGCCGGTGTATCGGTCTTCCACGCGGTCGGTCGGCTGGACTCAGGCAGCGGCGCAGGTGGCTAGCAGGCCCATGCGCGACGGCGTGGTGCAGACTTTGTCTTAGTCGCGGGCAGAGGGGATATTCCTTGACTAATGCGTTCTGTTGGCAGTTAACAGTGTTGCTACCCACCTCACATTTATGTTGGTGTGCTGTGTGAGAAAGGATGCGTAAATGGTGCCGTTACTCAGAAAATTGACGTACAATTGGGACAGTTGTAAGTGTGCGTTCAAGCACCTTTGCTTCCGTTTAATTAATACCAACAAACCCGAGCTTTCCATTTCCTAGAGGCTCCTGCTTTCTTCCATGCGAAACAATGGCTGACAGAGTGCGCCTACCATGCGTGTATGTCAACTGTCCATCCATCCTTCAGTACCCCGCGAGGTTCCTTCACTGGGGGCCTCCCGTTCCGCGCTGTTGACGCGCTGCGTTCCCCGCCGGCCAGGTGCCGACATCGACAGCTATGACGTGTCGTCGCTGAGCGAGCCGGAGCGGCGCGTCATCGAAGCCGACTCGTTCTGGTCCATGTCGTTGCTACTGGACGGCATCCAGGACAACTATACGTTCGCCCAGCCGGGCATCCAGACCAAGGTCACCCAGCTGAAGGAGCTGGTGCAGCGGATAGACGGTGAGCCCGGTTGGACGGACGTTGGCACTGACTGGAGGGCGGTGGGCGTCGGAGTAGGGTGTGGGGACGTTCTTTCTGTCGGGGCAGCAGTCCGCGGCCGCTGGACTGAAACTGTCCACGGGCGTAAAGAGCTCGTTCGCCGGGCTGTATGGGCTATAAGGGCCTTCCATCTAACTGGGATCTGGCGGTAGTGGTATGACTGGGAGCAGTGGCAGGGCGGCCGTCGCCACACCTGACCGGCACAGCGCCTTGCCGCCATCTCGTGCCAGCTGCCCACCTCCTCTCTCCCCCTCCACACCGGACGTCACTCCCTCATCGGACGCGCCCGTCTCACGTCTCGTGGCGGTCGCCTGTCCCGCAGCGCCCCTGGACGCTCACATCGCGCGCCAAGGCATCGACTACCTGCAGTTCGCGTTCCGCTGGATGAACAACCTGCTGATGCGCGAGCTGCCTCTCCACTGCACCATCCGGCTGTGGGACACGTACCTGTCCGAGGCTGACGGCTTCGCCAGCTTCCACCTGTACGTGTGCGCCGCCTTCCTCACCTGGTGGAGCCGCCGGCTCATGCAGGAGAAGGACTTCCAGGTGAGCACCACCGCGGCGGAGGCGTGCAGAGGCCAGAAGCATGGAGGGTCTGAGTCGGACACATGGAGCGCCAGCGAGGGTGTGGGGATGGTCGCGTGTCTGCGGGTTGAGTTTGCTTCTGTCAAGCCATTTCCGGACCCGCTAATGCATTGGATGCTGTTTTTATGATTGACTTACAGTTTGTGCTCAGTTCATTTTAAAAGAGGAGCGTTTTGGGGTTGAAGTCGCCAGTTGCCATGCTTGAATTCGATTATCCTTCCGGTTTACAATCCTGATGCCGCTTCGGATATCTAGATTAATTTCTCTTTGCTCGTACAATGGTGGCAGTCCTCAACAACTGTTTTAACTTTGAAAATGACTCGTGACATTCGTCGCTATAAGGTCATATATTTCGCGCCATGCGGCTTTTCGCCTGGCTTGGCAGTGCCTCTCGCCATCCAGTGGGCGCCTTTTTTCATTCCGGTGGTCATTTATCCGCTGAAAGCGTACGCTGTTGCCACCTCTTACGAGAGGCGATCGCTCCGTTCGTATCCCCCTGAGCCGCCGCTTCGCACCGCCAGGGCCTGATGCTGACGCTACAGAACCTGCCCACCCACGACTGGACCAACTCCGAGATCAGCCTGCTGGTGGCCGAAGCTTACAAGCTCAAGTACACGTTCGCCGACGCGCCCAACCATTTGGCCAGTCGGACCAAGTAGCGGCGGGCCGGGCCGGGCCGGCGACCGCCCGGTGTGTGATGCCGTTCCGGCGGGCGGGACCCGGTGCCACGCGCCGGTGTGCGGAGCCGGGCCGCGGTGGCCCGGTCGTGCTGGACTGCTCGCCGGGCGGAGCGGTGGGCGGGACGCGGGTGTGCGCGGGGCTGAAGAGGTGTGAGGCAGCGGCGGGTGGCGGCCTGCCGGGCAGCAGTGGACGGTCGCCGTCCGGACGGCTTCACCCGATGGTGTGGCCACACTCCCCACATCGTGACCAAGCACTGCCCGTAGCATGGCGGCCACAGGCTCGACAGCAGGCCCGGCAGCGTGTGTCAGCCACGGAGTGGACAGCTGGAGCGGTTGGTGTCCTGAGTGGGGCGGCCATGGCTGGGACGGCTGGGCCGGAGACAGAATCCGAGTGGTTAACGACCATGGCCCTGACGCTTGGTCTGGACGCGGAGCCGTGGTAGCGATGGCAGGTCCGCATAGAGCAAGCAGCTGATCCCATCGTGGCTGTGGGCTGCCGTGGTGGCGCCGTCGTTTCGCAATGACGGAGCCGGTGGCGGCTGTGGTCCCCGAGGACGGAACTGGCGGTGCTGTGGTTCCTCGATGACGGAGCAGGTGGCGCTGTCGGCCCCCGATGATGGAGCCGGTGGCGCTGTGCTCCCCCGGTGACGGAACTGGTGGCGCTGTCGGCCCTCGATGATGGAGCCGGTGGCGCTGTGGTTCACCGATGACGGAGCCGGTGGCGCTGTGGTTCACCGGTGACGGAGCCGGTGGCGCTGTGGTTCACCGATGACGGAGCCGGTGTCGGAAGTGGTGTCGCGTCGGGGCGTCAGCTCCGAGCCGCGAGGCCGGCCGGGCCCCGTCAGCGGCATGGCCATGATTCGGCCGGGGCCGCCGTCGCAATCATCATGACGCCGGTACCGAAATTGTCGTCCTTTAGCACTGCAGCAATCACCACAGCCCCGGCCGTCGGCGGGTGCGTAAACCTGCCGGTGCGCAGCCGCCAGCCAACCGGCCGTAAATCGGGCCGGCCGGTGACGTTGAGGGCGGAGCCTGCGGGTGCGAGGCGCTCCGGCCGGGCGGAGGTGCCTTGTCCTGTTAGACCGGCGCCGGAACCCGGGCCGTGTTCAACCTTGCTCAACGCCAGCGGAGCGCGCGGGGCGGCCGTCTCGCGCTGGCGCTCCGGCCGGACCTTGTTGCCACGAGGAATATTTATACCTCGTTTATCTCCCCCCCCCCCCCCGTCTCCTCTTCACATGCAGTCGTGCTGCGTCTGGTCCAAGCTCCACGGCGAGCCGCGTGGTGGAATGGATGACGGGTCATCGCAGTGCGTGACGCACCGGCCCCAGGACCAGCCCGCCGAGGGCGTGCTGTCCTCGCCCGGATTGAGAGTGGCGGGCGCAGGCGGCTCGCTCCAGCCGCCCGATACGAAGACAGTGCAATGAGTTATGTCGCAACGTTGTTGAGGTCGATGCCGCGCTCTCGCTCGGTGTTGTTTTCTGTTGTGCCAACGGCGGCGCGAGCCAGGTGCGACTTGTTAGGCTTGTGTACTTCCGTATTTCTCGCGACGAACAAAGGACGAGGACGCGGGCCGCCGGGTGGTGGTTCGTGGTGCCCATTGGCGGATTGAGCGATGACGTCATGATCTGCGCGTGTGATTGGTGGGTGCGCTGATCGTATGATGGACCTGGTGATCGCGGGATGGGCGTGTGACCTGCATCTGTGTAACAACAGGACACCGAAAATATATATTTTATACCGGTGGGAAGCAGTGTGTTAGCGGTTTTTGCCGTCTTCTTTACTTGTAAACGTCAAACGTAAAGGAATGCATTCCCAGCCGACTTTCCAAGCGCCTGGTGGCAACGCGACACGATATCTAGGCAGCGCAGCAAGGCAGTTATCTCTCGAAAAATGCGGGAATGTGGGTGCGATCCCGATCTCGATCGCCGTCACGGTCCAGTCACGACTTCTCCGCTTCGTGATAAAAGAGTTGCAGTACACCGCCTGCCATGTGTTTGCTGTCGTGATTACTTTCATGGTTCTCTTGGCTTCGTACAGTGCAACAGTACCATCCGAACCGCCAAGGTCGGCATGTGTGTTTCCACTCTATTCGCCGTGGCCGGTGGTCGTGCCGGCGTCGCGTCTGGCCGCACTTTCAAGCTCACAGCGAGGCCTCACAGCATCTGCTGACGTCCGAGAAAAGGTGTGGTCTTCACACGATCACGGCGAAGCCTCGCGTCAGCATCTGCTGACGTCCGAGAAGAGGCGTGGTCTCCACACGATCACGAGACTGTATTCGATGCTCACGACGTCGAGAGCGGGGCTGACGAGCGCCGCCGCGGTGTGCTCCGCATGGCTGGGGCGGAGCACACCGCCGTGGGCGCTCGAGCGGCACGCTGGCCACTGCGGAGTGATTGACGAGCGGTGGCGCAGCCTGTGAGTGCCGCGGTCTGGCGCCGGCGGCCGCGGTAAGAAGTGCTGTCCGATGGGTCACGGAATCTGTTTCAACAGTCGGGGGTAGGATGGGCAAGAGGGTATGTTCTGAAACTGACTGGAATCCGGTCATTGTGACCTAAAGACGTCAATGGAGGCCGAGGAAATTGAGTAGGGGTGTTAGTCTCGAAAGCAATGCATTAAATTATATGTGAACAATTTTGAAACTGTTTGAGGGGTAGTTGGTATTACAAGTTCGGCAGCGGGGCCCAGACAGCGTATTAGCTCCTGTTGACAAGAAACAGAGCATCTTTTACGGACACTACAGTCACAATATTTTGCTACTATCGCGAACGGACATGTACACACACAAAATAACAAAGAAGACATTACATTAAACGTTAACAAACGTACGAAGATGTCTGAGGGTTTCAAACACTGTGCACTTGCCACTTAACATCTATGACATGTTCCCTACGAGCTCCCCGAGAGCGTGCTGCACATTTATGTTATTGACCAACACGGCTCTACAAAAAACACGGCCGGCGTGCCCGAGTTTACCAAAATCCTGACTTCCGTGAGGATCACAAATCACGTTACATTTGGAAAATGCGCGCACTTGCAGATAATCAAGGGTGTTCTGCACACTGCACCTGGTTTGGCTTGAAGACGGACATCCAGTTTGGTCCCTAGGCGTAAGACAACAAGCAGCATTCAGTGCAATGCTCCTCTCCAGCCCTCCTCCTCACACCAACCACTCGTTTGTGTGGAGCGAAAGCCGCTTGTCGAGAGTTGCCCAGAGTTCCCGCTGGCAGCGCTGCTGTCGGCCACAGAGGGCGCTGCAGTCGGGCGTCGAGCGCCGGCGGCATCCGTCGGCCAGTCATACGGCTGTGGGCGGCGCCTCGGCCTCCTTCCCCGTGACCGCCGCCGGCACCAGGGTCGAGTTCAGCCCAAGGTCCCCCTCCGGCGTGATGCACACGTAGAAGCGCTGCGGCCCAGCCGACGGTCAGATTCCGAGCGCACAACACGAGCGAACGGTTCACTTTGACGATAACCGGATGTGTCATCGCCATGTAACAGAAGCGCGCTGCATACCACTGCCTATTTTCAAGCGCAGGCGCACGTTTGTCAAGGAACAGTGCCTGTTACGTCCTACCGTGATGCTTTGCACTGCTCCTGCATTTTAGTTCCTTCGAATATGCGTGCACCGCCTCGTGCAGCTCGACACACCGCTCTCGAGCCGGACCTGCACCGGTCCGTGGCGCCCCTGACCTGCTTCAAAGAGCCGGGCGTGGTCAGGAACATGTAGACGATGTAGGCGGGGATGCAGACGAGCGAGCTGGCCGTCATGCCCCAGCCGAGCGCGATCGACCAGCGTGGATAGACGTACTCCTTGGTGCGCAGGTCCTCGTACGTCACCAGCGAGCACACAAAGATGAACTGACGGCGGGACCAAACTGGTATTAGCGGACGAGACTGCACTGACGCCACAAATATGACCTTTGGGTGCGGAGAGGCGCTGGTAGACGAAAATGGGTGTTCATGGTGGTGGATACGGGCCAACAGGTAAAACTAAAATGCTGCCACAGGGTCCGTAGGTTGAACGCCCCACAGCTGCCGAGGCGTGGAATGGTGATTGGTGACTGTTTGGAATGTGTCTGTTTGAAATTGGTGACTGGAATGGTGACTGTTTACTGTCGAGGTCGTCAAGACGGAGAAGTGAGCCATTCAAACAGAAGGGAGTTCCGAGTAGAGGAAATTTTGATCTTGTACCTAAATAATGAACAAAAGTGTGGCCAAGGTAACAACAGTGCTGTCTAAAACGAGCTGAAGAGAGAGGAATCGCACTCAGCAAACAACAATAAGCTGACAAAACTGAGAGCAGCTAAATGGCGTTTGGCGAGAAAGGGTGAACCATCAAAGTTGAGTACTGTGTTCGACAAACGGAAAATAACCGTCGAAAAGGGAAACTGGATCGGGGCGAAAATAAAATACGGGATGGGAACTGAAGTGGGCACTGATAAAGACTAGAAACCGACGGGTTCTGGCTAGGCGTCAACAGACAAAAACCTCCGTCGCAGCGTGGAAATTGCCGAAGCGTAAAAATGCAGAAAGGCGGTGGCAAGGGAACGGACACCATTGAACCTGTGACGCACCTTGTGCAAGATGCGGAAAATGTCACACACATAGAAAGGGTCCTCTTGGCAGCTTGTGTCCTCGGCAGAAGTTAAACTGCAAACCTTGCCCCGCCTATTCCTCTTATTGTGAAATTGTTCTTTAAGCCTATGTTAAATTGCGTAGCAGGGATCTTTTATCAACAATTGCAATGCATGCGTATATAGGTAGAGAGAGAGAGAGAGGGAGAGAGAGAGGAGGGAGAGCGAGAGAGAGAGAGAGAGAGAGAGAGAGAGAGAGAGAGAGGAGAAGAGAGATATATATATATATATATATATATATATATATTTATACACATATATATATATATATATATATATATATATAGATATTATTATATATACATATGTATACATAAGCAAATTCCCCACCAACACAAATGGTAAGAATAACGGGAGATCACTTACCAATAAGAACAGCGGCTGACAAATTCAGCAGATGCGCCAGAATATGCCGGGCTGGATCCAATCATCCTCTCGGACATCACTCGCGAACCTGCCACGAACAACGAGTTCAGTGAGAGCTTCATGTCCGCTTTCTTCTATCGATGCCAAATGAATGCCATTAGAGAGCCGATTCAAAACCAGCAGGAAATGCAATACCCGCCAGGAAGGTGTAGCTATTGGCGAACAAGAATAAAAAACTCAAAGGTATGGTCTAATGTCATTTATTTATATGCCATGAGGAAGCAGACACGTAGGGCATATGTGCACGACGCTCCGAATCCGAAGCAGCCATGGCCTCGGAGAGAACCGGCCAATTAGAGATCGCTATTCTCCAGTTTTATATGATCCCTTAAAAGACAGAGCACCAAGTCAATTGCAAGAGTGGGACGATTACATGTCGCAATATAGCCAGGGAACACCGTAGAATACTGTCTATTTGATCCCTGAATCCAGGTGGCCATGGACCAAGACACGGGCTGAGGTTCACGCTTGGAGAGCCGTGCAGAACATCGAAGTGTAGCCAAAGATGGCCACATTGCCTTCAGATGCTCATGTGCCTAATCATGATTTTTTTTTGGTAACAGCAAAGAGACTTGTGATAGCGCATCGAGACATTTATAGTCACTGTTTGACAAGGAACGTGTCAAGTTTCGAACATTGTAATGCACGATCGGAACTGCATTATTGAGAAATCCATTTGAAATTAGTTGTTCCAGAAGGGAATTTGCCGGCGTTCTTCACGACGATCCAGGCAGAAAACTACACTTTTGAGCATCAGGTACATATATAAAGGTTTTTTTGTCACATTATACACGATCCAAACAACCTCTATTTGGAACCTCAAATCATGAAAGGCGTGAAAAATAAAGTGAAAAGCTATCTGCGCCCACCTGTTAGCGCCGTAAAACCAGCAGACGGCGACCGCCTCCACGAACACGATGAATAGCACGGATATGCCGGGGCCGTAGATCATCAGCAGGTCCACCACGTACATCCCGCCCTGAGACAGACAGACCTTGTCGCTAGCTTCTGCCCTGAGCTCAACGATGGAGGAAGCGGGGAGGCGTGATGGGTATGGCGAGAAACTGCCTCTCATACGCTTGGAAAAAATTGGCATGGCGTTGCATAGAATGAAACGCGACAAACATCGCGTTTTTCACTTGTCCTGCTCCAATTGTCTCCAGTTGTCAACGTAATTGCGGTACTGTGGGCTTTTCATGTATCACTTGCAGCTTTATAAGACAAAGTCTGGGAAAAGAAAAGGAGCAGCGCGTGGAAATATGGATGCAGAACGATCCTGGTAGTTAACTCTCCCATAAACACCATTAATGATCGATGCGTCAAAACAGTTTGAACGCCGGTGTCGTTCCATATGCATAGATTTGCAGGCCAGATATAAAATGACGAAAATTATTGCAAAGTAATTCACCTGTTCGTCACTAGGTAGTTCCTTCTATGATTATTATCGGTAACTGATCAGAGAAGAAGCGGGTGCTTCGAGATGAACACAAGTCATGTGTTCACATCACTTTGAAGGACGGGCAATCTTTTCGGTTCGTAAACGTTGCACGCGGGAGACTTTCAACAACCCATCCTCTCGACTTAACAGGCGCAGTACGATTCATCGTCTGCTTAATGGACTGAACCAGGAAGACCAGAAAAACACCAAGACATTCAGAGCGAGAGGATTCGAGGGGACCGCTGGCATCAATGAAGCACAAGAAGACAGACAACAGCCCCGAAATGTCGCCAGGGGGCTTCCAGTAACGTCGCCGGACCTCGGCCACCGAGGCTGCGCCAGGTCGGCCGCGCCACTTGAGAGTCCATCAGCCGATGAAATGTTTATTTTATTGACGTCGATCCATCGGCGCGGCGGGCGGGTTTGATCGGTGGTGCGCGGCGCCTCGCCGACCCTCGCGGGACTCCTCCCGGCGACAATTTATGGACGGACGGCTCATTTGTGAGTCAACGGCGGGCGCGGCACCGGCGCCGCACCGTATCGGCCCGGGTCAGCAGGAGCGATGACCGCCGGCACTGCGCTTATCTCCGCAAACAATACAGCGGGGCCGCGACGGCGCACAGCGCGCTCGCAGGTGCCGGCTCGGCGCAAGGCTGGGGGAGTGGACTGTGGCGGAGTGGCAGGGTTGCGGAGTAGCGGGGCTGCGGAATGAGAAGGTGTCGGAATGGGACGGAACGTAACGTAAGAAACAAAGCGTGCGTTTGTCAAGCGTAAACAAGATTATTACGGCAGCTGAAAACGGATAAATGGTGATGAGCTGAAAGCTGCGGGAGAAACAAAGTTCTTCGATTCCCACATCGATACAGTATGTCGTGTTTGATGGTAGATAAGTGACATTGGGCTCTAATAGCAGAACTGTTGTTCAGAAACTCCCGGAGGAATTCTGTATCAAACCCCTGTCCTGGCAAAGGCTAAACGGGGCTCCCGCATTGTTTTCATAAATGCTTCCGCTTTCCACCACGCTGGATTTGTAAAGATACAGTGATTTAAATGAATGCGACAAGTGTGTAAGTATCGTTGCTGTAGGATTTGATATTATCTAGACTGGCTCAGGACCTCAAGCTCCTTGGGCGCTTTCTACCTAAATGTATCAAGGGTGTATAAGAAACCTGATGTGGTGTCACGTATTTCTCAGATGTGAGAGTACCCAAATAAGATCCGTTTAGCTCTTAGGGCTAAGTGGATACGCAATTGCATGTTTACTGTTTCAACAGCTCCTCTCGCAATGAAGGCAGGTATTACTAAGTTCCGGTGCTCTGGACGGTAGTCCCTGCGATCTCAAGGTGCGGCGCATGCAGCGTCTGTTCTTCCCTGTCGGTGGCTTCCGTGATGTCGAAGCGCGTGGACCATGTGATGATATCGATAAATTGGTGGCCGCTGTTGTAAAGAAGAATGGTGCTGAATGCTTTGAGTTGTTAACCGAACAATGCAATAACAGCAGTTGCGGAGGCGAAAGCATGCTTTCTATCGTGTGCGTACTTTGTGATGCACCCAACAAAACGGGCCAGAGCCATACTTTACTCCTTCCATTTGCCTCCCACCCATCTACGGCATGGTCATTTAATCATCATCATAGACTCGGCAGACATAGGCAGACATCATCTAGTGTCTTTGTCATCACCCAATGTAACGTCATCATGATCGGCATTTACATTTCTTTGCTGCGTTCTCTGGCTGTCACAAGGCGCGGTGTCAGGCTCCTTACGTATGTGGTGGTGGGGAGCGCGCAGATGTAGCAGAAGACCAGGAGGCAGCCAACGAAGATCTCGCGATGTTTGCCGAGCACGTTCGGGTATTCGTCACAGAGTCCGGTAATCATGGCCTCGAGACCTCCGAAGGTGCTGTCCAGACCTGCGGGTGGAAGAGACACTGCATTGTCCGGACGTAGTGACTTCGAGCCATCGTGGTGCTCTGTGGCAGCTCCACAGATGACCTACGACGTACGGTGAGTGATGGATAGGTACGACTCAGACACGCTTACACAGTTACGCTACAGAGTTGTTAACCGAACGCTGTGATGTAGTAAGTAAGTAAGCCCTATACGCTCACGCAGATACGCAGATGCGCTTATACAGTTACGCTTCAGGGCTCTAGTGCTTAGCTAATGCACTTATTTCAAATTTCATAAAATCTGAGTACGTACGTTACGTTTTTTTTCTCAAATTGAAACGCTCTGCCTAATACCTCGATGAATTTTAGTGCAGTTGCGTTTTTTGTGATGTAGTAAGCCCGATGAACCCAAAATTTGTGCGATAAACTTCTACCAACCTAGCGTTATCAACATGAGGAAGAAGATGATGGCCCAAAAGACCGAGCCAGACATCATCGCCACCGCCTCGGGATAGACGTAGAAGACGAGACCTGGACCTGTAAAGTAAATTATATGGGTCAGCGACTATCTAGCGGACGGCGCAGCTTCTCTCTCTCTCTCTCTCTCTCTCTCTCTCTCTCTCTCTCTCCTCTCTCTCTCTCTCTCTCTCTCTCTCTCTCTCTCTCTCTCTCTCTCTCTCTCTCTCCCTCACACACACACACACCACACACACACACACACACCACACACACACCCACACACACACACACACACACACCACACACACACACACACACACACACAACACACACACACACACCACACACACACACCCACACCACACACACCACACACACACACACACACACACACACACGCACACAAACACACACACACACACACACACACAAGCTTAACAGAGCGATCGAACCGATGAGTGCGAGCACATTGCTACATTGTGCGAGGAGAACGGCCAGATAAGAAAACATCTGTTGATGTGCTTGTTGAAAGACGCTATGCTGAGGTAGATAAATTTCTGTATAGCTTCTCTCACCGTCCGTGCCAACCGAGTCGATGTCCTTGTTCTGGACCGTTGCCATGTACCCTGTAAAGACAAATACATGCGTTTGTGCCACGGAAAGAGGGAGAGAGTAAGGGAGAGAGAGAGAGAGGGAGAGAGAGAAAGCGAGAGAGAGAGAGAGAGGGAGAGAGGGAGGGGGAGAGAGAGAGAGACCATGGAGCAGACGAAGATGAAGACAAAAAGGGAGAGGGAGCGGGCGTGTGATTGCAGTTACGAGTGGGACTGTATGTCGAGCGAGTCGTTCCTTTACTATGAGGGGCAATGTATTAATTACGTAACGCGCTTTTGGCCATTTCAACCCTCTCTTCTTTTTATTCCCTGTTTACACTAGGCCATAACTTCATCCCCTGGTTACGGCGCATTAAATGTAACACCCAAAAACTCTCATCCGTTTCGCCCATAATCTGTCTAGACGTGCGACACAAAGGACGAGAGTGTAGCTTTCAATGAAAGGAAGCCAGCAGCACCCACCTTCAACCTTTTAAAACATGTTTCAAAGATGCTAGCATGATTCGCAAACATACCTTAGCGTTAAGTTACGGTGTCTAAACCTACCACCCCCCCCCCCCCCCCTTAGCTGCGCTTCGATCACGCTCGATCAAACGTGCCTTCTCCTCTCAGTGAAATCGTTATTTATGGGTGACCCCTAATGGTATTGTTAACTTGAACTACGGGGCCTAGCACCGGCGTCGCGAGGTCCAGAAAACAGCATCCTCGTATCCGCCGATTCATACAAATTGCAAGCTACCCGACTTGTAATTTTACTGAATTTTGCAATTTGGGCAAAACATAGCTTCACCTTTTAACATGCAAACAGATATTCACATCGCAAAAAATGTAGAGCACGTGCCAAAAACACACCCAGATGTCGATAACGCAGCGTCGCAGCAGGGGCGCAGTCAGAGTCCTGGTAAGTGGGAACGGGCACCGGGCTGATAAAGGGCCTCTGATGCCGAAAGTCCCTCCCAAAATAAATCACTGGATGCGATCCACTTGGTTTTGAGGGAGCACAATTTTCGTCGTTGTAAGATCATTTTTACATTATTTTACTGTGACAGAAGCCATAAGTTAGTAAACTGAAGCATGCGGGCGTTAATCAACTGCACGGAATAAGCCGACAAAGCGATTGATTTTACAATGGTCCACTGGACTCATTCTAATCCCACAGTGTCCAGACGCTTCGTTAGAATTTGTGTTGGCCCCGTGCATGCATTGAGGACCACGGAACCGTAGGTTGTAGATCGAAATGGGTTTTAAAATTTGTATTAACGTGGCCAGCCCATGCTCGTCTGGAAATGCTCAACCTTTATTCAGAAGCGAAAACCTAGACGCCCGACATTGCAGTCTCCTTAGGCCGCGCGGTGCCGGCCCCGCGGGTAACACTAGGCCGCGGGTAACGGGCGGGCGAACATGATGATGTATTTCGGTGCTGGAGCCCCTGACTAACGCAGGATGCGTTCATGTTCTCCTTGTGGACTCGCATCAAAGGTTCTGATATCTCCTTTCATGATAACAGTCCCTCTACCAAAGCAAAAAGTGTTCCCCAGCCGACTTGGGGTCCCTTGCCGACACAAGACCCCATGTCAGGAACTGTGGGTCCCTGATAAACACCGGGACACCGCATTGTCTCCGGGGGCCCGACCAATGTAAGTCACGGGGCCCGCCCTTGTCCCCGCTTGAAAAGTGGGCCCTCAGGGCTCAGACCGACACAGAGCCGCCTGTTTGGTGTTCATGGTCTCTGCCCAAAAAAGAGACTGACATTGTCCAACGGAGGCACCCATCGGTCCAAAGGACCAGCTGAATGACATCTGAGGACCCGACCCTGCGGCCGCAACCCCTTAATACGACCTCTGGTCAGTCCTTTGGGCCCTTAATCGTCGGTCCCGAGAGCTCCGAAGGATGACCCGGAACCTAAGAAGGTGGGGATGGACACATACCTCATGTGCCCATGTGCCCCCTCCCCTTTGCCCGTGCCGCTGCGTCGCAGCAATATGGGACCAATTTATTCTGATGGAGGAGAGAACGGATGACCATGTTGACAAAAGTGGGGATCGACGCATACACGCTGCTAAGCACTCTGGTGCACAAGCCGTGAATGCGTACGTCTTGGGACGTTTTTTTAATGAAAAAATGGACTGCGTCTCGGCTACCAAAGCCGGCAATGGCTGGCACAAACCACACGGCATAAGCGGATGTACCACACACAAATCCCTGGGTGGTTTCAACATTGTAGAATCCACTGATGCTTCAGTAAAAGATACGGGACAAGCCCAATGGCACGATTCCCGTCATCGCCATCGAATATCTAACTTTGAAAAAGTTAGACCATGAAAACTCCTCAAGCAAGTAGCTCATTTTCTTGCAACCGATATCCACTCAGCATATTTTGTTTTTATCAAGAGTTCGGTTGAAGTCACCAAAACCTAAACAGCCGAAAATTCCTTAGTTTTTTCAACATCAACTTTCGGACCATTTTAGGCCCAAGATCATGCAATCTTAAAGACATGTTGTTTCCAGTCTTGTGCATGAACGCACCACTTCGTGCATACATTTATCAGTGTATCGTTACGATAATAAAATTTGTGCACGACTTATGTACTTAACTTATCCAACGTAACTTAGCTCAACTTACCGCCACGTGTAGGCACATTGAAAAGTTACATCAATGGATCTCTGCCTACCGAACGAATTGAATGAGAATATTCCAGTGCAGTGACGTCTATTCGCATGTATCCTTAATGGGATGTGGACCTATTGCTCAAGTTCTGATTGCATCTTCATTATGATAATATCTACGCCTGCTATCACATCGCTCGCCCCATACCGCGTGTTAGGAGTGACCGTTCGTGACGTAAAATGCGCTCAATATAATGGAAAATAAATATAATGGAGTTCATTACAATATAAATAGCGTAACAAGCATGTACTGTCTCTGGCAAGCGGAGCGTTTTTGATATCAGAACATTCTCTCAGCATCGGCATCCCAGTAATGTCATTATGATATCGATAGAAAAAGAGCAACTTACCCAGAACTGAAAAGATGACGAAGCCGGCAAGGAAGCTGGTCAGACAGTTGATTGTACTCGTAATCATTGCGTCCCTGGAGAGAGGGAAAGGTGGCAACACATCACGAGCAATCACGAGCAATCACATGCGCAGCGCAGCTTAGTGTCGCCTCAAATGCTGCTTGTGAGACAAAGCTAGGTCCAACCTTCTTTGCTGCCATGTGGCAATATTAGAATATTTAGGGTTTCAAAAGTTCCTGAACACTTTGATAAAAGTGTTTTCTGACATGACATAAAGTATGCATTAAGTACACGTAATGACGAGTGGGCGTTTCTCATAGCCCTCCCAATTCTATCATTGTTAACGAATAGCTTATTCACGGTGCAAATATTCCTGGAAGATCGCGGGCGATGGTGGCTGGATACCCACCTGAAGCAGTTGTTATTAAACTTGTTGTAGCTAGAGAGAGCCAGAAGTGTTCCGAAGCCGGGCCCTAGCGAGAAGAAGATCTGCGTGGCCGCATCTATCCATACCTGTCAAGATGTTCGCCTTGTAATCGCCGTGCAATGCTTCTAGATGAACTAGCCGAATCGAATTTGCTTTGGAGGTGTACGCTTAACACCACAGAGGCTTGAGCATCCGCAAAAATCATCTAAACTTCGCACTCTGGTAAGCCGGAGGGCAGCCTACCCAGCAGCGACACGGTTTTCGTCGATTAGTGGGACAGGCAGCTTGATTTTTATGAACGCTTTTTAGATAAGCCATAGCAGCATTTCGGAAAGATTCCCAGTCAGAGTGGAATCATTAGAAGAAATCACGGCGACGTAACTGGTGCGTTGAGATTCTCTTGGTTAATTGCCGAAAGCGAGAATGGCTATCCTTACCTTAACGTCCTTAAGTCGGTGCCATTGGGGAGTGAGATAGTATCTGATACCCATCCAGGCTCCGGGCAGGGTGATGCCGCGGAACAGCAGGGTGAACAGGACCACATAGGGAAACAGAGCTGTGATCCAGACCACCTGTGGCACGGCAGAGTTGTGTGAATCAGCGCGATGTTGCGTGGCGTGTGCTCAAACAGCCAACATCGGAGCGTCCTGTTCCGTTCGCAAGAAGCGTTCAGTGACCGGCTCATTTCAGCCGTTGGGCGCAAACTACCTAACAGGTTTGCATATTTTCTTCAGTGATTTTTTTCCTTGATTGATTGGTGATTGGTGATTGATTGGTGATTGATTGGTGATTGGTGATTTGGTGATTGATCACCTGATTGGTGATTCATCATAATATCTTATCTGACCTCCATCCAAGGCTCACGTGATTCTCCCCTTCCCGAGAACGTACTCTCTAACGTGTCAAGCACCTGGTATCGGTTATGCTGTGCCGCAAGACACGTGTCTTGCGGCGCAGCCGATCGCTGCAAGTCGCTTTGCCTGAGCGGGATGTTCACGGGGCGGAGCGGGATGGCTTGCCGCCCCCATTATGCAAAGGCTGAGGCTATTCAACATTATTTGGCATGCGCCCGGGTGGCCGGCTGGATACCCTTCGCTCGGGTGGGGGGTCAATTTGACCACCTTGAGATCTCAGGAACTAGGAGGGCTAGAGACACCGAATTTACAAGGTGTGTTGGCCTGTATGAGAAACTCACTTAGGTCAAATTTTGAGGCTCCCTGTTCATAACCTTCTGGTCAAGTAAGTTCAAGAACGTACAAACTCTAAGTTGGTCTTCAAAGTGTTCCCAGAGCCTAGATACTTGCTCGAAGCAAAAAATTAAATGCTCATTCAAGCTAAGCGAACTTGTTTGACCTTTCTAAGGCCATGGTGGCCAAAGGCACGGAAGACTGTTTTGAGTTTTTTTTATTCGAATCAGCGACAAAGATTACGCTAGGCAGTATGTTTCTAAAAAACGAAATGTTGATCGGGGTCATTTAAGACAGTGATCTATTCTGGTCCTTAAGAAGTCCATGTAATATATCTATTGCGGCTCCTGTTATCAATACATTCAAAATGGGCAACAGAAACTGCCTCGTACGGCAAGCTTTATGTAAATGAACCGGTTGGTTTTGACCGTGGTCTGACCTTTATACCTGATCCCAGATCAATGGAATTTGGTGATTCGATTGTTGCGTAGCCTAAGGAAGTATCTTAGATATGTTTGGCTTCGTCTAAAACTCCGCTGTTCCATCAGATTGAACGAACCCCTAGAAATTGTCTTCGCTGAATCAATTGTCTGACTTCGACCTGCCGTAGGTCAGCAACCTTACAAGGTACAAATATGTTTTTGGCACCACACGATCCGCTATTCAACTGTCTACTGCTACGAAAAATTTGTCGGGCTACCCCGCGCCATTTAGAAACCATTCCGGATAATCCCCCAGGGGTTGATTTGACCCCCACCTTAGCGTGTGGGGGTCAAATTGGTCATATGGGGGTCAAGGTAGCGTAAAACAGCGCATGTGTCAATGAGACTGAGGCTAGTAGTGCCTTGGGATCGTTCTCGCAGCGCTTATGCAAAAACTTTTAAATCCAATACGAATCATTTTCTTTCGGGGCGGCGTGATCTGCCTTTGCGGGAGCTGAGCCAGACGCCTGGGTCGAGACCACTACGCCTGGAAACCTGCAACTGGGGTGTGTCTGGACCACGTGCCGTGTGCTTACCAGACCCCTGGATCCAAAGCAGTGCCACCGGTTCATGGCTTGCTTGTGGGAACAGTGCACGATGTCCCGGGCCCGGTCTGCCTCTGGGGTTCTTTGACCAGGTTATTGAGGTGTATTTATTCCTATGGAACGTCATGACGTTTTCAGGCGCAGCGTTCAGTTTTGCTATAACGGTGGGAGGGGGCGTTTCCATATCTTCAGCGGCTCGAGCTCTTTAGAGTTCTACAATGTGCTCACTTCTCCGTTCTACCATGGGGCTCAGGAATATTGAGAAAGAAAAAGATGACAAGTGAGCATGGGCTAATATTTTGAAATTGAATGCTTCATTAAAGAATCGAGACGGCTACCCCAACCTCGCGATGCCAAAATGCTGCATCAATGTAACGGCACTGCGCGTGCTCCTGCTGGCCGAAATTGCGCGCTAAGTCATGTTTCGGCTGGAAAATTGGTGGTGACGACACAGACGCTTCTTGGAACGTGTTATCGTTTGGATTAATGCCAGGCGCGAGTAACCAATGCAGTTAACGCACCCTTAAAACCCAATTACTAACTAACTAACTCAAATCAATGGCAAAACCAGCCTACGCACATGGCACATCTCATCTACTTCAGCTCTCATCCACCGTCCTTGTTACCTTTCCTGTGCTCTTCACGCCCTTCCACAAGGAGAAGTAGACCAGCACGAAAACAGCCAGCAGAGAGACAGCCAGCGGCCACTTGACCGACCCTAGATCGTTGATTCCGTCCGCTTTCTGAACTTCCAATACAGCGTAGCTGAAATGTCACACGAATGCGTCGTAGCCCGAAGTACCATTTCCTCTCCAGTTTCCGTCTCGGTCAACTTCAATTTTCAGCGTTCATCGGCCGTGACACCTATCAGAATAGATCCTGCTCGCGCCACAAGGTTCGGACAGAAAGCTCACCTGCAAAAGATCCTCAGGATGATATGGCATTAGACTACCCCTGAATGGCAAGGGACGCCTTACGATAGATCAGTACTGCACGACTTGCAAGCAGATATATCCCGCATGATCAAATTAGAGGCCTGTACTGATTGTAGATCTGCGCATAGACCGCAGTCCGGCGTTAGGGCTCCGAATTCCGTCACATACGACACCCCCACAGAGAACGGGTGGGTGCGGGCTCACTGGAAGTACTCATAGGCGGGACTGGTGGCGTTGCCGTCCGGCGGCGGCCAGCTCTCGTTGAGCGGCGTCTGTCGACAGCGGGCCGTGTTCCAGGCGTTCTGGCAGCGCGTCCACGGCAGCTCGTTACGGAAGCTTTGCACCAGGTAGTAGACGGACCACGCCAGCACCGTGTTGTAGCACATGGCCATGTAGATGTCGATGATGCAGATGGCGTAGCCGATGCCTGCCCGGCAGGGGAGTAGATGGACGTAGGAATTGAGTGGGGTTCTGTGTTAGCTGCACTGCTGAACAACAGATGTGATCGACAGTTGACGTATGCTGCAAGAGTCACCCAGAACATTTAATGAACAGGTGGAGCTGCGAATAAAGGATTGAAATTTTGGGATGGTTGATGCATTTGGATATTAATGTTTTTTGTTCAGAGCAAATCCACCTGACTCGCAACGATTACGCCATTGCGTAGGAATAAGAATTTATGCACGGCGCCGCCGTCGTGTACCTCACAACCCTCAGCGCGAGCCTGTACGCGTCGCCCGGCGCGCCACAAGTGTCGCTGGCGCGGCACGCTCAACACCCCAGGCGACGGGCCTCCCAGCGGGGCCAATCGGTCACGGCTGGGGAGGCCGGCGGCGCTCGGAGCACCATTACCCGGCCGGGGCCGAGCCGGAGCGTGCCGGCGGCGCCGCGGGGAGCGCCGATGACGTCCTGCGCCGAGCGGCTAACGACCGGGCTCGATGGCGTCGAAGGACGCGCCGAGATTGGCGCCGATGATAAATGATGACGCCACTTTCGAGGTAATCGGGGAAAAATGGACGCATCCACGGGACGGGAGGCCATCAGGGAAAGGTGAAATTAAGCAGGGTGGTGATGGACATTGCGATGCGTCAGTGGCCTTCATTTCGTTAACGACATTGCATTCGCTGCAGGATGGGGACCTTGTGCCCTTACGGCAGCGCAGTGCCCTGCTATATCGGTCTCGTTGTTCGGGTTAATTTAGTACAGGGTTAAAAGCTCAAGCACTGGCACGATGGCAGATGAAAGTGCACACTATCTACTATCGATATAAACTTCCTTTTACCGGACAGAACGTCAACGTACTTCAACAACACGCTTGCTCCCAAATGCTGTATTGCAAACTAGATGAGTCTAGGTACTAACTAGATGATTCCCCATATGGTAAAATATTAAACAACAGTTGATTCTCTTAAATATATGGTCTCCCCATTTTCCTAATTTTAATCACCATCCCAGCTGAGACGGTCAAAACTGTGGCAATCTTCTGCAGTATCACCGTGTCGGCCTACCTTCCAGAGCCGGACAGATCTCCTCCCAGAGAGTGAGTCGGCGTACCTTTCAGAGCCGGACAGATCTTCTCCCAGAGTGAGTCGGCCTACCTTCCAGAGCCGGACAGATCTTCTCCCAGAGTGAGTCGGCCTACCTTCCAGGGCCGGACAGATCTTCTCCCAGAGTGAGTCGGCCTACCTTCCAGAGCCGGACAGATCTTCTTCCAGAGAGTGAGTCGGCATACCTTCCAGAGCCGGGCAGATGTTCTCCCAGAGAGTGAGTCGGCGTACCTTTCAGAGCCGGACAGATCTTCTTCCAGAGAGTGAGTCGGCGTACCTTCCAGAGCCGGACAGATCTCCTCCCAGAGAGTGAGTCGGCGTACCTTCCAGAGCCGGACAGATGCTCTCCCAGAGAGTGAGTCGGCGTACCTTTCAGAGCCGGACAGATCTTCTCCCAGAGTGAGTCGGCCTACCTTCCAGAGCCGGACAGATCTTCTCCCAGAGAGTGAGTCGGCGTACCTTTCAGAGCCGGACAGATCTTCTTCCAGAGAGTGAGTCGGCATACCTTCCAGAGCCGGGCAGATGTTCTCCCAGAGAGTGAGTCGGCGTACCTTTCAGAGCCGGACAGATCTTCTTCCAGAGAGTGAGTCGGCGTACCTTCCAGAGCCGGACAGATCTCCTCCCAGAGAGTGAGCCGGCGTACCTTTCAGAGCCGGACAGATCTCCTCCCAGAGAGTGAGTCGGCGTACCTTCCAGAGCCGGGCAGATGTTCTCCCAGAGAGTGAGTCGGCGTACCTTCCAGAGCCGGACAGATCTCCTCCCAGAGAGTGAGTCGGCGTACCTTTCAGAGCCGGACAGATCTCCTCCCAGAGAGTGAGTCGGCGTACCTTCCAGAGCCGGACAGATGCTCTCCCAGAGAGTGAGTCGGCGTACCTTTCAGAGCCGGACAGATCTTCTTCCAGAGAGTGAGTCGGCGTACCTTCCAGAGCCGGACAGATCTCCTCCCAGAGAGTGAGTCGGCGTACCTTCCAGAGCCGGACAGATGTTCTCCCAGAGAGTGAGTCGGCGTACCTTCCAGAGCCGGACAGATGTTCTCCCAGAGAGTGAGTCGGCGTACCTTCCAGAGCCGGACAGATGTTCTCCCAGAGGGTGAGTCGGCATACCTTTCAGAGCCGGACAGATCTCCTCCCAGAGAGTGAGTCGGCGTACCTTCCAGAGCCGGACAGATGTTCTCCCAGAGAGTGAGTCGGCGTACCTTTCAGAGTCGGACAGATCTTCTTCCAGAGAGTGAGTCGGCGTACCTTTCAGAGCCGGACAGATCTTCTCCCAGAGAGTGAGTCGACGTACCTTTCAGAGCCGGACAGATGTTCTCCCAGAGAGTGAGTCGGCGAACCTTTCAGAGCCGGACAGATCTTCTTCCAGAGAGTGAGTCGGCGTACCTTTCAGAGCCGGACAGATCTTCTCCCAGAGTGTGAGTCGGCGTACCTTTCAGAGCCGGACAGATCTTCTCCCAGAGAGTGAGTCGGCGTACCTTCCAGAGCCGGACAGATCTTCTCCCAGAGAGTGAGTCGGCGTACCTTCCAGAGCCGGACAGATCTTCTCCCAGAGAGTGAGTCGGCGTACCTTTCAGAGCCGGACAGATCTTCTCCCAGAGAGTGAGTCGGCGTACCTTTCAGAGCCGGACAGATCTTCTTCCAGAGAGTGAGTCGGCGTACCTTTCAGAGCCGGACAGATCTTCTTCCAGAGGGTGAGTCGGCGTACCTTTCAGAGCCGGACAGATCTTCTTCCAGAGAGTGAGTCGGCGTACCTTTCAGAGCCGGACAGATCTTCTCCCAGAGAGTGAGTCGGCATACCTTCCAGAGCCGGGCAGATGTTCTCCCAGAGAGTGAGTCGGCGTACCTTCCAGAGCCGGACAGATCTTCTCCCAGAGAGTGAGTCGGCATACCTTCCAGAGCCGGGCAGATGTTCTCCCAGAGAGTGAGTCGGCGTACCTTCCAGAGCCGGACAGATCTTCTCCCAGAGAGTGAGTCGGCGTACCTTTCAGAGCCGGACAGATCTTCTTCCAGAGAGTGAGTCGGCGTACCTTTCAAAGCCGGACAGATCTTCTTCCAGAGAGTGAGTCGGCGTACCTTTCAGAGCCGGACAGATCTTCTTCCAGAGAGTGAGTCGGCGTACCTTCCAGGGCCGGACAGATCTTCTTCCAGAGAGTGAGTCGGCGTACCTTTCAGAGCCGGACAGATCTTCTTCCAGAGGGTGAGGCAGCCGCTGCGATGGTACTGGCCGAGAGCTAGCTCCATGTAGAAGAGCGGAAGGCCGCCGAAGATCAGCATGATCAGGTACGGGATCAAGAACGCACCTGCCATGTAAAAGTCTGTAAATTTGGTGGTAAAGGTGCGGGAGCTATCGCGCTGTATCGATCTTTGGGTGGTTGGGACTTCCCCAACATTTGGGATAATGTAGCACTTAGCTAATGGGCGAAGGTCAGGATGAGGAACTCGTCGGCCAGCACCAACGCTAAGCAGTGCTTGGTGTGTGGGGCCTGGCCCCACCACCCGATCGTGGCACTTAGGGTCAACGGCAGAATTTTGCGACGGAAGCTTAACAAGACATATTGTTCCGCACGGTTCGTCCTGCCCTCTGACGTCAACCAAATTTTTCGCGTGGTCACTGCCACCGGCTGCGCGCCACTTCGGTCAAGTGCAAACAGCGAGCGTCTAAATCGACTTGAACCCATCCCGCCACGACAGGGTGGATCGGAAGACAGGCGCTCTAACCAGCTGAGCTATCCCACGGAAGCAGTTGCCGCGAGAAATTATCTCAGTCAAGGATGAGAGTACTGGATAAAATCGCACAGAAAACTCCAGTGAGGACCTGTTGAGATGAAATTGTTAAATTGTGTTATGTTAAATGATAGTTAACGTGGGGGCTTCCTCGGCTGTCATAACACGTTCTCCTTCGGCCTGCTAATATTGTAGCCAAACATCGGCTATCTCCAGTATGTAACACTTAATGCCCCCGAAAAGGTCGTAACTTTTTCTGGCTTGCCTCCGATAAATCATACTGTAAACCGTTCCTGGCTCGTGCAGTGTGCCAAACTTTGTTTGGAAACGCTAATTTGATAGTCAGGAAAAATCATCAAACTTCAGCACTCCAGGTGGAACGGTTGGTAATGAGATAGGAAAAGCTAGAGATTAACGAGTCGTTCACGCATAAAAACGACGCGAAGGCGTCACAGCCTGGAGGGGACAAGGCGTCATAGCTTGGAGGCAGCATAGCATCATAGCCTGGAGGGGACATAGCGTCATAACCTGGAGGAGGCATAGCGTCATAGCCCGGAGGAGGCATAGGGCCATAGCCTGGAGGGGACGTAGCACCATAGCCTGGGGACATAGCGTCATGGCTCGGAGGGGACACAGCCTTATAGCCTATGTCGAAATAACCCATCCTAACAAAAGGTCGGCAAGGGCTCCTTGACATCTGTCGTATTGGCAAAACGCTCGTTTTAGTTTGCACAGGTTGTTCAGACCCCAAGCCGCTCTCATGACGGCTGCACGGCCCATACGACAGTTGCGCGGGTTGTTCGGGTCCCCCTTACTGCCCACATGACGGTTGCACGGCCCATGTGACAGCTGCACGGGTTGTTCGGGTCCCCTAGCTGCCCACATGACGGCACATAAACAGCACTCCACGAGTATTGGAATTAGGATGAGCGAGACCAGATATCCTCGAGCTCCCAGGTTTTCTGACGTCTTTGTATTAATATTTAAAGCAAATCTAGGGCAAAATGAATAATACATCGGACGATCCGGACGAACCCTGGAGATCCAAAGGGCTCCAAAAGAGGCAAAGGCCAACTTTTGTCACAATCGGTGTCGAGCGCCCTGCCCTGTCGCTAACCCCACGCCACTGACCGCCGCCGTTCTTGTAGCAGATGTAGGGGAAGCGCCATACGTTGCCGAGGTCGACGGCGAACCCGATGACAGCGAGCAGAAATTCGACCTTCTTGTCCCAGGTCTCGCGGGGTGGGGCGGCGTCCGCTGCCTTGATCAGGGCGCCGGGCTCGGCTGCAGCGGCGGCGGCAGCGGCGGCGGCGGCGGCGGCGGCGGCGGCGGCGGCGTCGGCCGGCGGCGGGCGCGTCGGCGGGGCGGCCTCCGTGTCGCGCGGCCAGGGCACGCTGGGCCGCGGCGGCGGCGGCCGCGCGCCGGCGCCGGCCGCCATCGCGCTCAGCAGCGCGGCCGTCAGCGGCGCGGCCCGGCCGCGGCGGCGCGGCGCGGCAGCGCCCACATGGCTGCGACGAGGGCAGAGTCAGGAGTAGCGACGACGACCAGCTGTCCGCAGCGGGGTAAAGGTCAGGAGGTACAGCGGCGCAGATCAGGTCAGGTGGCGCAGCGGTACCCGCATGCCTGCAGCAGTCTGAGGTCGGCAAGCGCAGGCGGTACCTGCATGCCTGCAACAGGCTGGGGCCGGCAGGCGCAGGCTGTACCTGCATGTCTACAGCAAACTGGGGTCAGACGCGCAGGCGCTACCCGCATGTCTGCAGGAGGCTGGGGCCGGCAGGCGCAGGTGGTACCGCCCGACTACGGCAGCGCAGCGCACTGTCGTCTGGTATTGCATCAAGAAGACGTGTGAGAAGCAACGATTTGGACGCCTTGTCGTGCTAAGAAAACGATAAATGCTCGAAACTAATCTTGCCACCTGACCTGTATGAATCTAGCTCTAAATAGGATCTTTAGGCCGATTGAACTTGTCCAAAAGGTTTTTGAATGTTGCTGGAGAAGGACTTCCCATAACTTCGTTTGACAGCCCATTGCAATGGTTTACTACTTTTTGACTAAATGGCATCTGCCTCTTCGTAGTTCTACTCCTACCTTTTGCTAAATGCAAATGGTTTCCTCTATGTCTCGGCCTCATTTCCAGTGTTCCATGTAGATCTGCCCTGTCTATCCCTTTGTACTCTTGAATACCTCAGATCCCCTCTAAGTCTACGATATTTCGGTGAATACAAATCCAAGGCCTGCCACTATCTTTATATTCTAAGTCACCAATCCTATTTAACATCCGATTGCTTTTCGCTCTACTCTTTCAAGCATGTTCATATCTATTTGGAAGCATGAAGACCAAGCCTGTACACAATACTCCAGTCGTGGTCTGACATCAGCTAAGTACAAATTTTTGACAGCATTCCTTCTCTTGTAATGGACACGCCTGTTCCCGCATCCGAAGTGCCTTGCTCCTAGCAGCCGCACATTGTTTTTCAGTCATTAAGCGTCTCTTGTCTCGCGCGTGAGCTTTAGCTGGAGCGTAGCGAGTTTTTACAAATGCAAACATATATGCCTTGATTCGGTTGTGTTCGCTTGAAAAACTTTTATACTTTTTGACGCCAAGCAATTACGTCGTCCACGCAAAGCGTTATCCAGCTCCGACGGCCAGATTTCACCTAACAAGATCCAACAGGTTGATGCAGTTACAGCAAGTTGGTAGCAATGCTCGCTGAAGCGCGAATGATGGCGTCGGTCTGATTGTGGCGGCATAATCGAATGTGATCCCTCATCTGCGGTGTGAAGCAGGCGAACGTTTCTGTCTCACCGGGCTTCATCGGGAGGCTGCTAGGCTTGACGCCATGCTGAGAGTGTTGGTGTTGCGCACTCTATAACATGTGCGTGTGGTATGCTGCCGTGAACAGTGCATTCGCGTGGAAGTTAAGTCTGACAGTCAAAATCAGATTTTAGATGTAATTCTGGGTAACACGGGAATAGATGAATTAAAACACCTAACAAACTGACTACATGCTTTGCTTGCACGTCAAAGTGGCATTGTTAGCTTTCCACGCCCTATCCGGATAGGCGGTTTTTTCCTGAAATACTTGATAGACATACCGTTTTGCTACATGTAACCAAAACAGATATATCAGGCTGATATGCTGAACTGAGTAAGAACGCTGACTAATTAGGATATAACTGTTTTCTGTTTACTTGCTGGGGGCGGGGGCGGAGAATCCCCATAATTACGTCTTGAATCAATAGCTGAATAAGCCGGTTTCAAAAGTCAGGAACTACCCCTGCATCTTGTGATCTCCATCAAAACAGATTTTTGTTAAACTAACGAGAAATGTGTTCATAACAGGTAGCGACGGCCCTCACCCTCTCTCCCCACCCATGACCTATTCGTTTTTCACGTAACCATAGCGCGGAGGTTTGACGATGGAAGCTGCATAGCAGTGGCATATTCCGTCAGCCGACAGAAATGAACTGAATCGCGCCGTCCACACGCGTGATGCTCCGTAATCAGACCATTTTGAACAGAGGCGTGCTCGGGGCGGGGCGTACCGAGAGGCTTGCGTTCTAAGGGTCAAGTGGGTTGATAGCTTTTCGTTGTTTTTTTTAGAACACATCAGAGGTTCTTCCATACATTTATAATTTTTGGTGTAATACTGCGCGGAAATGTGCATCCAAACCTAGCAAACAGTGCGCACACATCCCGTACTTTTTGAAGTGCATTTGCGAGGAACATTATGCATCTATGGTCGGAATATCAATACCTCTATCACTCTATTTTCCTGGATATTTTATGAAGAATAAGGCTATTAATACTATCTTATTTGTGTACATATCCCGTTTAACTTGAAACCACTTAGCTCAGCATACGCTGCATGAATATTTGTAGGCGGCGCACCCTAAAACGCTTCGCCCCAACATGAGCTGCACAAAGATTTGTAAGCGACGCACCCTAAAACTCCTCACCTTAACCTCAGGTATGCCGCCATAGTGAACATTAGGCGTCTAGAGGCGCGACTCGTAAGGCAGCAGGCTCGTAAAGCGCTGTTCCATAGAGCTTTATAACAATGACAGTCGCTGGTATAACAATGGCACCTATAGTCCTGAACACCTGACGACCGTACAGTTGTGGGAAGGGACATGGTTTTCTAGTGGGTACGGGTCAGAAAAATGTTTGCTTAGCAAGAACCTGAGGTGCACTTTCCTATTCAGTTAGGGGAGGGGGACTCAAGTCCCATCTCAGAAATGGGGTCGAATCGGCGGAGAAATCAGCCGCGCGGGACCCTCCGTTGTTATCGGGTGGAGCCTCAGTGTTCCTTCGTGTGATCGCTTAAAAGTTCCTCGTTTAGTTTAGGGTACGGACTAAGTGAGAGAGAAAGGTCTTTTTCGTAAATATGTCCCTATTTACTTCCCTGTTTAATAGGTGCATCCCTACGCCTCTATTGCGTGTCCCCGCAAGCAATGTTTAACACTAACAAATTGTGGAAGTTATCCTATCAATCAAATATCTATGATCTATCAATGCTACTAGTTACACGCAGAGCGGCAGGTGTGCCAAACATTCCGGATAGGGATGTGGCTGTATATGGTAATCGGTACTCCCAGGGTCAGTGCCATTAATGAAGGAAGCCTTAGCAGAACCAGGGGCGCCATCGTGGAAATGAAAGGTGTACATTGTTGCCTGCGGGAAAATATGTTACGGGTGGGCCGTTCCCCACGCTACTACCTAGTTTACAGCATGTCTGAGTGGTGATTTTAAGCGGTGCCTGAGCTGAAGCAATGTTAAGACACACGCCGGGTGGCCGGTTGGATAATATTCGCTCGTGCGGGGGTCAACTTGACCCCCTGAGACCTCAAAAATTAAGAGGCACGAACACCAAATTCACAGGGTGTGTTGGCCTGAACGTGGACTCACTTGATCAAAACTTTGTGTTTATAAGTCATGGCCTTTGGGTCAAATAAGGTCAAACAAGGTCAAGCTCCAGGTTTTCGTCTTAAGTACCCCCAGAACCTAGATAACTGTCTTAAGTAAAAGGTCGCTGATGCTCATTTAAGGTCGGGGACCTTGTTTGATCTTTCGGAGGTCATGGTAACTAGAATCATACCAGACTGCTCTGGATTCTGCATTTGAATAAGCGTCAAAGATGCCACTAGGCAGTACGCTCCTAAAACAAGGTGATGATCTGGGTCATTTTAGGTCAGTGAACTATTCTGACGTTTAAGAAGACCATGGGATATGCATAATGCGCTTCCTGTCATGGACAAATTCAAAATGAGCACCAGAGAGTACCCAATACAGCAGGCTCTAGAGTAATTAAATAGGTTGACCTTACCTTACCTTAGTCTGACCTTCATACCTGACCCTAAATCAATGGAATTTGCTCATGCAATTGTTGTGTTGGCTAAGAAACTCTCTTAGAGATGTATGGCTTCGTCTAACACCCCGTTGCTGCGTCAGATTGAACTATCCCCTAGAAATTGTCTTCGATGGATCCATGACCTGACTCTGACCTGCTAGAGGTCAGCGACCTTACAAGGTACATCTAAATTTTTACACCATACAATCCGCTGTTTAATTTTCTACAGTTCCGCAAAATTTGGCGCGGCCCCGCCACGCCGTTCGGACCCTATTCCGGAAAACCTTTGGGGGGAGGTGGTCGAATCGGCCTCACCCGAGTGCGTGTTAAAACTTTACCGGTATCAAAATTATTGCGCGTTGCTGAACATGCTGCAGCCTGTTACCTGCACTGGTTCGTCTCCATTCGGAGCAGTAAACATACACCCCAGCCTGCTTACTGCTCATCACTCAACGTTTGCTTGATGTATAAATGTTTACTTACCGGCGCACACTACACGTGCAACGATAAGAGACGTTGCAATAACATGGTTAGCCAATTTCAGCGGCTTACGACTTGCCCACGGCATCCTTGCAGCCGGACATGAATCTTGGAACGCGATTTATGAGACGAAAACTCTAAACATTTCAACCACGCATTAGCTCTTCGTTTTCACACACAATGCTTGCCATGATGGATTTTATGCTTCTGTAATCGGCATTGTGCACAAAGAGTGCCTTTCACGCTTTGGCCTAGAAATGATTCGTTCTATCGAATAAAAACACATTTTTGGAAACCGTCTCCGATCCCAAACTTTTCCTGCACTTAATGACATTGAAAACAGAGGACGCGACATAAAAAGGTCCATATTCCCGTTGCGTCCCAGAATTTGTGCCAGCTCCCCAAGCTCAGGCCCTGGTCTTGCATAGGAACCGCGGTTGATAGCATTCATGT